CACAGCACGCACTTTAAAAAGGTACAAATAAAACCCCCCCCGTGCAACTTTTTTTTTTTTTTTTTTTTTTTTTTTAAGTGTGAAGCAAAAGGGAGAGAAAATAGTTTCCTGTCTAGCTGGTCATCTTTACACTCTTACGAACACGTTAGATCCAAAGTGAAGGCTGTAGTTTTCAACTGAAATCAGTAACTTTTCTTAGACATTCTGATAGAGCTTACTACATCAAGTTGATACTAGCTTTGTACAATTCCTGTCATCAATATTTTCCAACATGAAACAAAAAAGATTTATTAGTACTTAATCAGTTATTGCTTCCCACTCTCTTTGTAATTCATTCCTATTGGGAGTCTTACAAGTCAGTTGGAGAATCAATTGCTAAAAAACATCAGCGTGCTCAATTATCTCCCTGAGCTGCAATGTAAATTAACAAAACAGTGATTAATCACCTCTAGAAATTGCATTGTTCAAATTCAAGTGTCTGTAATTGGCACTTTCTGTAATCTTTTATTAACTCACGACTGTTATGAGACTACTGATCAATACAGAAGACCCAAGTGTTTCTCAAAAGTAAACTTGAGTACATTCAGAATATGTTCTACTATGACCAACAACATTAGTTTAATTAGGCATATTGGCTTACCACTTCCACCCTGTGTTGAAAGTCCTTCATCTTCAAATATATCAAAACTCTCTTGACGGGTCTGAGTTGTTTCAGTTTTTAATGTCTCAAGTGGCATTCTCAGGACAGTAAGATTATACTGAAGGGAGTGAGATAGATCATAGCTGTAACTGATAGACAGTTATCGTTTATTAATAATTGTAGATGCACAGGACTTTCCTGAAAGCCCTTACTCTCCATCTGTACTTATATTTAACACAGTACTATTTTGTCCATTTAAAAAAGCCTTTTAAACAAGATACACAGATTCTGATTCTATAATGGCAAATGATACAAATGATTTCCAAAAGAAGCTTTACAAACATAGAAACTGTTTACAGTACAATAGCTGAAATATCCATATACATAGACAACCTCATTTTTCTGAGATTTAAGTACTACTTTCTAACTACTACCTGAACTCAAAACAGCCAAAAATTTGCTCCACCAAAACTGTATCTGTCTTCAAATTGGTGATTGCAGCATAGATGCATCCTAAGACAGTGGCTGCTGAATAAGCAAAAGGTGGGGTTTTTTATTAGTTCCATAACAGTAACAAATTCTGCAGCTCATGTCTTTTATACTGACAACACTCTACACTAATTGCTGGATTTTATAAGCCACTAGGATTCATTTCCCCAGAGAAACCAAATTTATATAACACTTGAATCAGAAATACAAACAGATTTCCAAAGATTTTCCTAAGATGGCATCAATGACTACTGGCCCCCCAGTAAGTTCTAGATATTCATTAATGATCTAAAAAAAAAAAAATTATTTAAACATTGGACATTTAGATTTATCGTTGATGATAACAAAGTAACTCATGTATTCACCACATTTCCATAATAATGACCTGACATGCCTATCTATTAGAAAAAAAACAAAGTCTGTTACATGCTCAGCTTGTATAACAGAACCTTTAAACAGTACCCCAGTAAGAGACTTGTTCAGGCTATTCCTCCACTCATGTATTCCACATTTCCATAATAATGACCTGACATGCCTATCTATTAGAAAAAAAACAAAGTCTGTTACATGCTCAGCTTGTATAACAGAACCTTTAAACAGTACCCCAGTAAGAGACTTGTTCAGGCTATTCCTCCATTTTCCCCTTAGACCAGAAGTTTTCTTATAACTAACTTCTAATTCTGTTCAGAATTTATATGAAAACCATGCAGAAAAATATGCTATGATTTCAGCCACGAACAATTTAAATTAAGCTGATAAATGTGTTTATCAGAGTGTCTCATAAGAACCTTCTCCTTTCCCCTCTACGTATGATCACAGAAACAGTATACATTCATCATCTCCAAGCAGAAAAAAAACCTGAAAGCTGTATAATGTTAGGGCTGGAAGACAAAGCATGGAAGAAAAACGCAGGTTTTAAACTGTGAAAAAGCCTTTCCATGCAAAACCACTAAACAGATATGAAACTTTAGTAGGTTTCATCTCCAGATACAGTTGTGACAAAAAGCCTTTATTTTCCAAGAGGGAGTTATGTTCGACACTGATACACCTTTTGGTACTTGCAAGAGAGGGGTTTTTTGTTTTGTTTTTTAAGTCTTAAAGTCTTCTAACTACTACTGCCAGGTTTATCACCACATTTCCCCCACTTTTCTGCTGTCCCAAAAATCTCATGTGTAATAGTAGCTGGGACACAGAAGCTTGTCTTAGCTATGGCATTTATGAAGCAGCATGCAAGAGAACTGGTAATGCCTAGAAGGCCCTATGAAAGATGTACCCTACACAGGGTATATTTTAGATGAGGACCTATTTCTCTATCTTTGTTTCCGAATCAAAGCAAAGCTTTATTTCTGGAAAACGAGATCAAGAAAGAAAAACTGACAGGGCAAGCAACCCCCCTGAAATATACTACTTTTCCAAAGAAAGAACTTCTGCATAATCTGACAAAGGTGAACAGTCAGTGAAAACAGTAATTTCAGTGTCTACCTTCTGCTGTGTCCCTAATATTTCTGTAATTTTTCAACTTCATGGAGACTGCATTCTTAATCAATTTGTTGAAGGAGAAAGTGGGTTCAAAAGACACAGATGAAAATGGACAAGCAATGTGATCACGTGTCTTATTTCCCCAGAACACCAACCAAAAGCAGAATCTTACAGCAAGTGTAGTATACAATTTTTTAAAGGAATTAGTAACAAATACTTACCTAAAATAGAAGTTGCTAGAAAGGTCCACATTTTGAAAGATTCTCAGATACCTAGCAAAATAATTCAAGTTAAAGGGAAAGTTATCACTTTAACCAGACAGACCCCAAGAAGTCAGAGGATCTCAGAAATTAAACTGCATGTGAATATTGACTTTTGCTGTAAGTTCTCTAGCTATCTTACTGTAATTGTTTTGACAGGTAATTCCACTAGAATGTCAGCATCTGGATTAAATAAATCAAATAGCCTTTTTTTAATCCAGTGTCTACTCGTGTACATACTCTGTTTCCTTAGGTGGTTGCAGATACAGTAGTAGTTCTATTTTCCACATATGTGGTTCAAATTCTCTAGGACTTACACAAGTAAACTCCCAACAGTACTATACAAGAATTAAATATTTTCACAGTTCTTCTCAAATAAATGAACAAGAAACTACTTCAATGTGTCATACACTTGCAAATTCTCAGAAGAAACCATAATGCTGTCTATGAAAGATAAAATGGCTAACACCATAAATATATAGGTTAGATAATATGGTCTGCTGCATTCTAAGAGGGGAGACTGAGGTTTACAATCAGTCATATCTTAAAGTGAAAACTTTTTTAATAGTTACCATTGGCTTGATTTATTACCTGACATCAGTTTATCATAATCCATCACAACTTTTAGACTATTCACACTTGGTACAGACTGAAAAGTAGTTTATTGATACCATTTGCCTGGGATTTCATAGAAGTAGTTACCCCACCCTGATAAAAACACCACCAGGATGTACTTGTAAATTTCACACAAGATTCCCTGCTGATCAAAGGCCCAAATTTCTTTCTTTAGAAAGAAGTCACAGAAAGGAAAAAAGCTAAACTTACCAGTGGGTCAGTTTATCACCCTTTACAACACCAGCATTCACAAGATTCTGTCAGTACAGAATCACTAAATTAAATAATCTACTCAGCACTTCTTGAAGGGCACAAAAGATCTCTTCAGGTGAGATTAACATGATGCTAGAGCTACTAACAAAAGAACAATACCCCAAACAACATAAACCAGTATTAGCATTACTTTGCCCTTATAAGAACAATGTTTATATTGGATGTTTCCTGGTGCACATTTGCTAGGATGTAGCTTTGACATGTAGGTGACACGGAGATGTGGACAAAAAGCTCTGAAAGACTGTAACAGTTGTATTTACCCTCCAGGTTAGAGGCCACAGAACTTGTGGCCCACTCTCCATTTTTCCACGCTAAGATAAAATGACTTGAATGACATACTAACAGAAGGAATTCTATGGCCAAAATTTCTAGTTGCAGTTCACCATTGCTTAGAAAATATTCAAGAAGTACACACTGTTTACCACCGTTATTTACCTGGCTTCATCAGGATGAGTGACTCTTACAGAGTCATTTGGAATGTAGATCATATTTGTATCTTCTATTTTATATATTGCATGACCTCCAATATCTGCCATTTTTCTTCTTTTTGTTATTAACACAATGTAGTAGCCTTCTAAAAACCTGACAAAGCCTGTTAAAACAGCATTAAAATGCTATTAGTTGGATGTTTGCATTGATTTGATCAAACATATTTAGAAAAACAGTATCAGAATTGTTTCAACACTTCATAGAAGTTTTGTTTGTTCTTAATATATAATGTGCATATATATACACATACAAAAATATACATACGCATAGACACAGTCTTACAATTCCCCCTCAGTAAGTGTTAATCAATGAAGTACATAGTTTTTACTTTTTCTCCCCTTCCACTGTGCTTATTTTTAATATTAGGCAGCAGAGTTAAGACACTGAAAATTCAAAATAAGTTACTGTCTAAAGATACTTGTATTTGCTTTTTATAGGACTCTCATTGTTCAGAGCAAGGCATACCCTAATTACTTCAGACACCAAAAGGTTAATTTTCCAGGGCAAGGAGGAATCCCAATCTCCAATTTTCTTTTCAGGTTTATGTATTCTTTACTGGGGAGGAGCACAGAACAGCAAAAGGAGTTGAGGGTACTACAACACCTTTGTGCTCTCTCTCCTTAACAGCAGGGAATTAAATTCCCTGACTACAGCAGCATCTCCCCGAAATTAGCCATTCAGAGCATCAGGGGTAATCCTTTCTTTCCATTTTCTCTCTCAGATACCAAGACTTGACTGTGCTGAAGTCCAGATGGCTAAGGAGGTAGAACAGGCAGTGTCTGGCTTTATTGCCCATCAAAAGAAGGCTTCTGAAGCCTCCACCCTCGTTCCTTAACACTACAGGGCATAGCCATGCTTCTTCACTGATGCTTCTTTGGATGTCTCTATTACATATCATTAGGAAAAAGAGTAACAAACCTTTAACTACAATACAAATGTAGAAACTCAAATTAAAAATAGAAATACGTAACCACCCCTGAACCCAAATTTGTTTCTAATACAGTATAGGCAGTGATACAGCAGTACTAAGTTTTAATAACTAATAAATTACATGAATTAATTAGCTCTTGGAGGTAGCTGCTTTGATGGGTTGCTACTAGTAAAGAGCCTGAAACTCAGTCACTGCTGCACTGTCAACAAATATATTAATTGGGGGGGGAAAAAGCCCCTCACAATTCACATTTTTACTTGTATTTATACAGTTCTTTTAGCTTTGCATTATAAATTAGAGCAGAAGCATGAGCAAAGCACACATTTTCCTCCCTGTCACTGCTGGAGGCTGCAATGTGATCGAATGAACTGTAATTCTTTTCTTCTGCCTTATTAGCCCCCCTTGGAAAAATGCTCTCACCTGCACAACGAGAGGAGACCCTGCTGACAATAAGAAATAAAGTCTTCCATGTGAAGCAGCCAGACTATTGAATTTCAATTGTTAAATAGCAGTCAAAATTCTTCCTATATCCTCCAGGTACTGAAATCACCTACGTGAACAGTCTCTATCCTTTGAATTTCACCCAATGTTATACCAAAGTGTGATAAGGAACCCAGCCTTTCCCCTTGGCCTGGTTCTCTCTGTTTAAAAGCGATCTCTACTTTTAAAAACTATATAGTGAACCAGAACTTAGCCTATCAGCACCCCCATTCTGAGTGCGCTGAATACACTGCCTCTGGTTAACGAAATAACCAGAGAACAGAACAAAGCTGTCCTTTCCTATTCTACAAAAAATAGCCCTGCCCTCCTGACCTGAGCCAGGAGGCAGAAATAAACAACCAGTTGCATTCCCTCAAATTACGTGTTTATACAGATATGATTAGATAGGATCAAGATGGAAGACAACTAAAGCATATACTTTAAAAGTACAAGATAATCTGAAGATCACTGAGAGCATGTTACTTCTAAAGAAATAATCTAGAAATAGTACACCGTATCTGATAACCAATACATTTGTCCAGCTACAGCACAGAAACTCTCCTGTTATGAAAAGTACATATAAACAAACATACAATTGAGATGCAAAATTTCCATTGAACACAACCACTTTCCAACCGAATATATTATCACATATTTAGATAGTGAGCACTGATGGCTTGTGCAAAAAAGCTAATGCTGCAAGACTGTTAGAAGCTTCTTTAAGTTTACCCATATTATTAATACTCTTAAATTAATAAGGAACATAAACATCATCTGAGGAATTTCTGAAAAGCAGATCCATTGATAGATTCCAAAAGGCTTCACGGGCCAAAAGAATATAGAAGAAAGTTTGCTTAATCAGCCACTTTAGATTAAAATACTAATAATATTTTCTTATGTTTTGGTTGTTATGCAAAATTCAGCAGCATCTTTTAAAGTAATTGCAGTCTCCACCTCCTCTGCAGCTTTGGATTTAGATGTTCAGGTGTATATTGATGCCAAAAAGTATTCTTGGGGGCTGTCAGAGCACACATTAACATTTACTTTGGAGACATCACCCCATCAATATATCGACCTCAGTATCTGACAACAGGGAGGAAAGTAGTGACTTTTGGATGAAGTTAGAAGCTATTAAATCCTTGAAGCAATTCTCTAGGATTATGGACAGCTGATCAGCATTTAAGAATTTAGTTGACATACTAGTCAGTTATACTTGTTTCATGAAAAAGAAATATTGAAATATGTCATTGCAAAAAGTCAACTAAAGAGAAAATTAAGTCATCTTTCTGAATAGTGTGTGATGAATAAATACAACCTAATAAAGGACATCAACTTTCATTTTCTTTTAAAAAAAGGATTCTGTGAGCTCTGGAATTCAGGAAGCCATGTTCCACGTGATTTGTGTTCTGCAATCCGTTGAGTTTGGTGACATCTTCAACCAAGCTTCTAGAGTTTGGCCATTTCCTAGATCTCTCCCTTAGTGGTGAAGAAGAGACTAGTTACAGCACAACTCTCATCCCTATACAGGCCATCTGTTTTCACAAAATACATAGAAACTTATTTATCTTCGAGAATGAAATTTCTCAATCCTCTTCAGTTTAAAAAAAAAAACCCAAACATAAAGTCAAGGGGAAACAGAAAGATATACAGTGTGACACAGCAAGCCTCACCTCCTTAAGAAATAAAGATTTTATAAAACCAAACAAAACACTTACCTACTACACCAAAAGCAGAGACAGCTCGAGATAACCCAGAAGAGCCCTTCTGCCCAATCTTTGTTCTGTTTCCCAGGTCTAAACGGCCAAGAAGTTCCCTCACCTCTTGTTGTGTATACACATGCTTTAAAATAAAAAGTCACTTAAGTTACTGCTTTGGTAGTTAAATGTGATTTCATGTCAGAGAATAGAAGAATTTACTTAACATACAATGAACCAAATGTCTGCTCTACATCCGCTGTTTCCTGTTTCAGTCCTACCAACAAGTACAACAAGTTTTTTACGCACAAAACTCACCGTCCACTGCAACAGAAATATTCACGGTCACATGTGAATTCAAACATTTCTAAGTCTCAAGTGTTAGGATTTTAAACCATAAACTTCTTACAAAGGAATCAAGTCTTATTCTATTGTGTACATTAAGACTCTTGTTGCTGCTGTTTATTTTGCTTCAGATATGACGTATCAGAAACACTAAAAATTTGGCTAGATAGTAATTAAATTTATTTTGCACTTAGAACAGCATAGCTGAACATAAGAAAACCATTGGGAGCATATACGTAATAAACTGAAAAACTTGGGAAGACTTCATTAAAGCGAACGTGCTGTTTGGAGATCTTGTGGCTGCTCCCATACTGTAACTAGTCATTATCATGCTAATACTGTATGCATCTGACATATGAGGAGAGGCTGAGAGAGTTGGGATTGATCGGCCTGCAGAAGAGAAAGCTCAGAGGGGATCTTATCAATGTCTATAAATACCTGGTAGACAGGAATAAAGAAGTCTGAGGCAGACTCTTCTCAGTGGTATCCAGTCAAAGGACAAGAGGCAACGGGCACAAATTGAAATACAGGAAATTCCATTTGAACATAAGAAAAAGCTTTTCTACTGTGAGGATGGTTGAACACTAGAACAGGTTACCCAGAGACGTTGTGGAGTCTGCATCCATATTCAAAACGTGACTGGGCATGGCCCTGAGCAACCTGATCTAGTTGACATTGCTCTGAGCACGAGGGTAGGGATAGACACTCTCCAGAGATCCCCTCCAACCTCAATTGTTACATGAGTCTATGATTCTGTAACATACCTTTGTTGAAACAGATTAAATGTGTAATATTTACATTCAGCTCAATATAGACAGTATTATTCGGAATAACCGAAAAAACCTAGAGAGGCACTCACCTTATCATCAATTATAACCAAATCCTTTGGTTCAGTGCGATCTATTTTCAAAACACGGTATTTGGTTTCTGCAGGATTACTTCCAACAAGAAAATACCGCTACAGTTAAAAAAAAAAAGTCAGAATATTATACAAGATAAAGCAACCAAAGCTTATTGTAACATAAGACATCAACAATGCCATTTGTATAGTTTCTAGACTAGATCCATTTCAGCTAACATCAAATATGCAATATTCCATATGGACTGTTAATAAACTGTTTTAGACATCAGTACCTTTGTATACAATCAACCTTTACAACTTAAAAGACCTCATTCTCTCCACTGTACAAGGAGGAAAAAATTTAAAAATTGAAGAAAGGTGAAAACCTGTTTAGAGAGGGAAAAAATGCAGCTTACACCAGGCACTGTGCAACTACACCCTGCCATTCCCCACTGTCTTCCCATTTGCTTTGTAAAATTTAGCAGAAGCTTATACACACAAGTTTGTAACTTTTTATGATCTAAAACTACTGTTGCTATATTGTAGTCTATCACTTTTTCTGCCAACTAGTCTTTCCTAGTCCATACTAAACACAGAAAAATTGTAAATACTTCAGTATTGCAAGTTTTCTTCATTTTTTATTTATATTTGCTATGATAGACTTCTCACCATTGTTCTTCCACAACACTCAAGTTTAATTTGACCAGCCATGCTGGTTAAAAATACTGCTTTTTTTAAAAAGACTAGCTTTATTTCTCATTTAAAATATGAAAGAAAGACCACAGATAAACATATAATGTCTCCATTTCTCATTTAAGAGGATCAAACTATAAATTAATTTTTACAGTTAGAGGAATTAACAGTAAGCACAGGTTGCAGGACTGACTTGCTATAAGCAGCTCTCATTTTACTAATTCATTTAATCTGTGTGGTGCTACCACACAGCAAGGTGTAACTCATTAATAATGCTCAGCCTAGTAGGAAAGCATGGCAAATTCATGTGGATCTATGCAGCCAGCTCTTAACTTTAAAAGTCACATGGATTTAAGATGTGGGAGAGGAAATCAATAACAACATTCACACAAACCTCAGAATTTCATAATTTATACCAATTAGAGGTTAAGAAACATCTTTAATGTCAAAATATTTAAGGTGAAAGAACTTAAAGCCCTCTTCAGCTTCCTTGAAATCACAAAAACATCTAGATAGTCAGTAAGGTCTAAAAAAGAAAATAAAATACTGAACTTTAAGAGCTATAAAAGGAAACACCACCAACTCCTGGCTCCACCTTGTACACTGACATTACAGTGCTTACTGAGCAGCAAGTTTTGCTGTTTACTCCTAAATGATAGTAAAGAAGGTCCTTCAAAGTCACATGCCATCCCAGCACTCCCTACTGAAGCCTCTGAGGCAGCACTTTGGCACAGTGTCCTGTGGTTTCCTACTGGTTTTTTAGCAGCATTGTGCTGCTGTGCACAGCCCAGGCTCCCCAGCCTGCCCCACTCAGAGTACCCTCCACAGGAGATCCCTTAATGCCAAGATCTGTGCTTCCCAGGAGGGAAATCATAACGACAGGGAGTGGGCTGGAGCCCCCACTGCGTGGCACTGAATGGCACAAAGGTGGAGGATGGAGCTCTTCTGCTGGTATCGCCCACCAGCAAGAAACACCAAACCACCAAGACGGTCACTTGCTTAGACCATGCCATCATACCACCTTTTTCTTCATGCCGTAGAAAGTGAATGGGCAGAGGGAAATATCATATTCATTTGTAATACACAGATGATAAGTTAGTTTGCATTTTAAGAGTGCTGCTTCACTATTTGTAGAAAATTGTTAATTAATTAAAGCTAAACAATTTTAAGTAGTCCATAATACTGCAATACAGCTCAGTGATCTCCCCCCACGTCCAGCTCATTAAATGAACATAATTTCTTCCCAAAGTGACACCTGTGGTTACCGACAAATCATCCTGAATAAAAATAGAACAGTACAACTTTAAGATGCTTGTCCAAATGGCAGTTTGGACCAAAGACCACATTTAAAATTGGAAGATGGCACATGACACACAGGAAGAGAGAGAGAGAGATGGATATAGAGTTGCAAATGCTATTACTAAGGAAGTTCAGTTGGATACTTGTCCACTTCCTTTTTAATAGACAATAAAACATAAGGAAGCGCTATGAGGAATGCATCACTCACATCAGCTTGGCAGCTGCTATAGTGAGCGATGCACAGCTACAGTGCCAGCTTTAAGTGCTGCTGCTGCTGCTTAGAACAGCAGCAGAGTTAGATTAGATGAGAAGTGATTGTATCTGCAGACTATGTAGCAACCACCATAATGAGTGGCACTTAACAAGCTCTCTTTGAAGTCCTTTAAGGACTAATTTAGGGGGTTTGTTTCAAGTTAGAAAGCTAGGCTGTGTAATGTCTTGAGGAAGGTCAGCTGAGAACAGCATCAAAACCCACCATCAACAGACTTAAAGAAGCCACCTTCTTAGAAAGCCAGGGAATGGGAAATCTCGATTTAGCAAATGGGAATCTTGCCCACTGCATGTTAGAGGATATTCTTGTGGAAGTAATAAAGAAGGGAAGATCTGCAAAAACTTTTTAATTTGGACGAGGCCTCAAAACTATGAACCCAAAATTAGACTTCTACTTGGGAAGTTTTCAGGACTAGCTAACAATCAACAATGCCAGAATTACTCGAAAAACGGCATGATATGCCAGCTCATATTCAACCTTCAGGGTCTGAAATGAAAACAAAGATGATATGAAGACTAACAATGCAAAAATGAAACTAAAAAAGGCATTTCAGCATTAGCTGCTTCTGCTACGTAATTTATGCATCTAATGAATAAATAAATCCGTCTTACTGGATGATATGGAGCACAAATAAAACCTTATCAGAGACATGTACCACAATTAAATTGGCCATCACATGAATAGTAGGAAAGAATAAAGAAAAATACCAAATCAACACAACACTGAGCATGTATCATCAAATAAATTGATTTCTGAGGTTGCAATATAATTGTAAAATTAATCAAAGCTAAAATGTGCTGTACTGTTTACAACTATTTTGATTAACAGAAATCATTACAGTAAAAGAAATAAGAATCCACAGGTAAGCTACAGAAACCTTTCTGGGAGTTTCTACCCTTATTCTCTTATTCCATTTATTACTAACTTGAACTGAATAAATCAAAGCATTTTCCAAATGTCTCAAACAATTCCACTCCACAGCACTGCCACTGCATTTAGATAAATGGACAACCTTGACCAACAAAGTACTTTCTCAACAGAACACTGCACAAGGAGAAACCATGCAGGCTTCCTCATACTACTCTGCCAAAGTCCTTTAACCATCACCTGAGATGAAACATGCTGTTTCCAGGTTTAGTCTGCCCTTGGCCTCACTGAAACTTGTTAACAAGTGCACTTTACCAACCACGACAGTGCACCATGCAGGTACTTGCCTATGAGATCTGGACTAAAGCTTAATTTACTGCACAATTATCACTAAGCAACCACAAGATAGGAACAATCATTAGTCACTTCCACCTGGGACTGAGTTTTAACCAAAGCAATGTAATTGAAAGGCTTTACACCCTCTTTTATCAATCTTTTGATTCAGCCAAACCAATAAAAATAGCTTCTTCTAAAAGAAGTCTAAACAAAAAACCCAAACTTCTTACTGCAAATTGTTGTTTATAATGCCAGGATAATAGTTCTGAAATCAAACATTCTGCCCACAATTTTTTTTTTCTTTAAAATTACTTGTTAGAACTCCTGGTCTAAAACCATGGTTTGCTTCTTTGTATAGACTAATTATCATTAAGAAATGTTAGCACTGTAAAGAACTTATTTCACTCATCAGTTAAAAAGCAACACACGGCTTAATCAGCAGAAAAAAAAGAAAGAAGTGAAAATACACTAAAAATTACTTGAAAAATACAGCAGTGCGCTTATACAGCCAACTTTTAAACCTGCAAATAGCATAAAGAAAACACTTAAGAGCTTATACAAAATGCTTGCAAAAGATACCTATTGAGCCTGTGGATATGTCTAAAAACACAAACCCTAAGCAAGCGTGGCAGGTTGACCTTGGCCAGCTGCCAAATCCCCCCCAACCACTTTCTCACTCCCCCTCCTTGACAGGACAGGGGGAGAAAATAAGATGAAAAAAAGTGATGTGTCGAGGTAAGGACAGGGAGATCACCTACCATTTACCATCACAAGCAAAACAGACTTGGGGAAAATGAATGTAATTTATTGTCAATTAAAATAGGTTCTGATCGCGAGAAACAAAGACAAATTAGAACACCACCTTTCCCCCCACCCTTCCTTCTTCCCAGGCACAGCTTCACTCCCGACTCCTCTGCCTTCCCCCTGCCCTGAGCAAGCACAGGGGGGTGGTAAATGGGGGGTTGCAGTCAGCTCGTAACAGTTCCTCTCTGCTGCTTCTTCCACCTCACGCTTTTCCCTGCTCCAGCATGGGTCCTCTCCACAAGCTGCAGCTCCTTCAGGAAATAACTCCCTGCTCCAGCGTGGTCCTCCCCAGAGGCTGCAGGGGGTCTCTGCTCTTGCACCTAGAGCACCTCCTTCTTCATAGACCTTGATGTCTTCAGGGCCATTTCTCTCACATTTTTCCTCATTCCTTTCTCTCACAGCTGCCGTATAGCATTTTTTTTACTCTCTCTCAAATACGTTATCACAGAGGCTCCAACATCTTGGCTGAGGGGCTCAGCTGTGCCCTGTGGTGGGTCGGTTAGAGCCGGCTGGGACCACCTGTGTCCAGCACGGGGCAGCCCCGGCCTCTCCTCACAGAAGCCACCCTGCAGCCCCCAGCACATGGGACACCTGCACCCAATACAGGAAGGTATTTACGTGCTAATCACACTTTCTGTCAGACTAAAGAAACACACTGGGTTGCCAGATGAGAAACCTTCATGTGAACACTGACTTTGGATCAGCATACTATTATCTCTCTAATTTATGGTTAACTGGGCAGCGCAATGGTAACTGTCACCTGCCATCAGACCTCCACCCTCCTTCATAACAGGCATAAAGTTATGCAAGAAAAAGCCTCTTCCTCATATTGTTGTGGTAGTTTTAATATGTACTGAACTTGATTGTAGATCAGAAATCTTCAAGGCATAAACAAGATATTAAATAGGGTTAAAAAAGGTATAGGTTCAGCCTTTTTTCTCTATTACATCAAAGAAGGGGAGAAAAAGAATTACACCTAGATGTAAGGTATGGCAAAAACTCTGCTATGTTCTTTCTTTCTATAGATCCTACAGCAATTCAGGGAGTATCTACCTTTCACCTCTCAGAAACTGAGAGAATGACATGAAGAAAGGAAGAGATGATCAGGGGTGAAAAGAGGTACCTGAAAACAGCAAAAATTCAGTTGGCATGGTGTCTGCTTCCCATAATCTGTTGAAATTCTTCAAAAGAAGCCCTTTCAAGAACACACCCTGCCAAGCACCACTCTCAGGGCATGTAGGAATGGCTGCCACTCTGCATCCTACAGCCACAGCATTCAGTAATTCCCTTTTGTCCCAGAGCAACCAAAGCTTTTTTTGTCCCAAACAGGACTTTGCTCTTGCTGCTCCACTGAGGGGTTCCTCAAGATTCTCCCTTCTAATTCTCAACTAAATCTATTAATCATCAGTCTATACATTTTCCTCTAGCCAAATACTTCTCC